AGTCTAAGAAGAAAACAGGCATTGATCTATGGCACAGAAGATTGGGCCATGCTCCCTTAAATACTTTGAAGAAGTTGAAAAATTTGAATTGCTATGTTGACAATGTAAATTTTGATCACAAACATTGTACTGTGTGCCCTTTGGCTAAGCAAACAAGAATTCCTTTTCCTCTGAGTACTTCACAGTCTGATGCTTGCTTTCATATTATTCATGGTGATGTATGGGGTCCCTATAGGGTACCTACTTATGATGGGAAGAAGTATTTTTTCACCTTGGTGGATGATTATTCTAGGTATACCTGGATATTTCTGTTAAATTCCAAGTCAGAAGTTATAGTTGCCTTGACTGATTTCTTGCTAATGATAAAAAATGTCCACTCTGCGGTCATTAAGATTTTGCGCACTGACAATGGTTGTGAGTTTTTTAACTCTCAAGTTTCCAGCTTGCTTCGATCCTTAGGGATATTGCATCAAAGTTCTTGTGTCTATACTCCTCAACAGAATGGAGTTGTTGAGAGAAGACATAGGTATATTTTAGACACTGCTCGAGCCATCAGATTTCAAGCCAGTGTTCCTCTCAGGTTTTGGGGAGATTGTGTGGCGACTGCAGTGTACTTGATCAACAGGTTGCCTTCTCATACTCTTCATGGTAAAGTACCAGTTGAGGTTCTCTCTAAGAACTCACCAGATTTATCTCACTTGAAGGTCTTTGGTTGTCTCGGTTATGTTACTTCCTTGAAGAAGTCTGATAAATTTGCCCCTAGGGCTGTTCCAGCTGTTTTCCTTGGTTACTCCTTAACTCAAAAAGGCTACAAGATGTATCTCCTTCAGGAAAAAACATTTACTACTAGTCGAGATGTGGTGTTTAATGAAGACATATTTCCTTTCAAACACTTGTCCAATTCATTTTCTCCTCTATTTTCTGCCCCTTTATGTTCTCCTCAGTACTGTCCAGCTGATCCTATCTATGTTTCTCCTGATCATGATTCCTCTCTAAGGGCTGATATAGTTGACTCTTCCCTACCTGATGTATCTGAGTTCACCTCATCATCTGAAGTTGCTCCTATGCTTGTGTCTCCATCTGTTGAACCAGTTAGAAAGTCCTGTAGGACTCCCAAACCTCCCATCTGGATGAAAGACTATATTGCTCCCACAAGAACAAAGGCCTCCTGTGTTTTTCCTATATCCAATTATGTGTCCTATGCTCATATCTCTCCTTCTTACAGCTCAGCATTAGCAGCTTTCTCAGCTGTTTTGGAGCCCACTTTCTACTCTGAAGCTGCTACAGATCCTAAATGGATTGCTGCCATGCAGTCTGAGATTGATGCTCTGCTGGATAATCACACATGGAGTATAGTTGATCTTCCGTCAGGCAAGTCTCCAATCGGGTGTAAGTGGGTGTACAAGATCAAGCACAAAGCTAATGGGGAGGTTGAAAGGTATAAGGCAAGGCTGGTAGCTAAAGGTTTTAGTCAGAAAGAAGGGCTAGACTACACAGAGACTTTCTCTCATGTTGCTAAGATGGTGACTGTCAGGTCTGTTGTGGCCATTGCTGCAGCTAAGAGGTGGTTTATCTATCAAATGGATGTGCATAATGCATTCCTCCAAGGTGATCTCTTTGAAGAAGTATACATGCAGATTCCTCAAGGGTTTGGCAGCCATAGGGGGAATGATAAAGTGTGTAGACTGCACAAATCCCTTTATGGCCTGAAACAAGCACCTAGGCAGTGGAACAAGAAACTTACTGAGGCTTTACTACAACTTGGTTTTAAACAAAGTCATTTTGACTATTCCTTATTTACCAAAAAGACTGAAATTCATCTAGTTGTGGTCTTAGTGTATGTAGATGATCTCTTGGTAACTGGTAGCTGTCCTGAATTGATTCTACAGACAAGGAATGATCTCAAGTTGAAGTTTAAAATGAAAGACTTGGGCCAGTTGAAATTCTTTTTGGGCTTGGAGTTTGCTAGATCACAAGAGGGGATCCATATAAGCCAAAGGAAGTATGCACTAGAGTTGATATCAGAAATGGGGCTTGGAGGTGCTAAACCTACTAGCACACCTCTAGAAGCCAATGTCAAGCTGACCTCGTTTGAGTATGACAGTCATGTAAAGGAGAAAACAATGGAATCTAGTGATCAGTTATTAGATGATGCTGGTCCATATCAGAGACTAATTGGAAGACTCTTGTATCTAACAATGACTAGAGTGGACATATCCTATGTTGTGCAGGTGTTGAGTCAGTTTATGCACAAGCCTAAGCAATCTCATATGGAGGCAGCTTTAAGGGTGGTCAGATATATCAAAGCTGAACCAGGTCTTGGACTGTTAATGCCTTCAGAAAGCTCAGGAAAACTAGTAGCCTATTGTGACTCTGACTGGGGTGGATATCTTGAGTCCAGGAGATCAGTTACAGGGTACACTGTGAAGTTTGGTGATGCCTTAGTATCCTGGAAGTCCAAGAAACAGGAGACAGTAGCAAGGAGCTCTGCAGAGGCTGAGTTCAGAGCCATGGCATCTACAGTTGCTGAAATAACCTGGCTGGAAGGGTTATACAAAGAGCTAGGAGTTAACATTAAGCAGCCTGTACATTTGTTTTGTGATAGCAAAGCTGCAATCCAAATTGCTGCTAATCCAATATTTCATGAAAGAACCAAACACATTGATATTGATTGTCATTTTGTAAGAGAAAAAATTGTTCAAGGGCTGGTTCAAACACTGCATGTATCGACAAAAGAACAACTAGCTGATCTGCTCACTAAGGGCTTGGGAAGACTGCCACATGAATACTTAGTTTCCAAGCTGGGATTGAAGAACCTGTTTCAACCATCAGCTTGAGGAGGGGTGTTGGTTAGATTTATGACAGCTAGGATTAGAGCAGTTCACAAGATAATTATTCTAGAATCAGTTAGAAGGTTAGAAAGTTGTTAGAGTTAGTTAGCATAGTAACTTTCCTTTATATAGACATAGCATTGTAAAGATATTTTCAAGATGCTTTCAGCTTAATAAGAATGAGTTCTCTTTCTTCTATAATTCTCTCTGTATCTTCTTCTTCCTGATCCTTTTGCATCTTCTAGATGGTGATTACTCCATAAGTTTACAGTATCCTTTGATAACTGAAACATACTTTTTAACTTCTCGAAAGTTTGATCAAACATATTATAAAATAAAATGAAGACAATAACATGAACTCAATTACCGCTAAATAAAAGAAAATTTTACTGCTACTAAAAGTCTTTTTTGTTAGAGTAACTCTTCACAAAGCTGTAAGCACGTCTTGATAGGCTCAAAGGCGGATATTCTAAATCTATTACTTTTGACGCTTAGTATAATTTTATGGGTACAAATCACAAAAATTGCGATAGTAAAAAAATAGGAATATAATTTCATAACTTTAAGAATATAAACCTTCTTTTTTCCATCTGAATGTCCGGTATCCACATTGGAGTCCGACTAAATTCAAATTCGCGCCAGAAAATCCTACATTAGAAATAAAACGTTATCTAATAAAGGCGACTCCGTACGAGGCTCGAATCGAGACCTATGAGAAGAATGATTATATATTTTATTTTTAAGCTTCCATCACCAACTAACTTAATTGTTTGGCTGACATACACGCAAATCTAATTGGAAAGAAAGGTACGTAGTACTTAAATTGTACTTTAATAAACTAAATTTTGATTAAGTACATTGATTGATACATTAATCTCATGTCAAACATTTGCCCATGTCAAATATGAGCTCGAATTCAGGAACTAAAAAAAATGAGAAGTAAAATTCCGTGATAGCGCTGGGATTTGATTTTAGGATTATATATATGAGAGCCAAAAAATATTACAACTTGAGTACATAAATAATTATTCCTATAAATGGGCTATTGAAGAGGTAAAAATAATGTCGTAATAATTGGTTTGTTTGTCCAACTATTCTTTTTAATTCGTTCAAAAAATAATATTTTTTTCATTGTGATATGTTAATTTCATAAGATTAAAGGATATTGGGATATTTGACATATCTTTATTTCAAGACCATAAGGTTCAATTTTTTTTTTCTTTCTTAATCTAATGTGTCAAATCAAAATAAAACAAACAAATTGAAACGGATTAGAGAAAAAACTACTCTACAAACACCTAAGGTTAGTCCATGTATATTAATACTCCTTGAACAAGAAAATAAATCTCACAAGGCTAAAACTATATTTCCAATAGAAGCAAAACTTAAAAGGAAAAAATATTAGCTATACGTGGACTAAGAATAGATGTTTGTAAAGTTTTGATGATAATAACTCACTATATATGGTTCAACCATTTTATTGGTCACAATTTTCAACCCTTCTTGTTGAGCAACGTCAATATCATGATTATGGTAAGGTCTATGAGGAGGCTAGAGTGACCTAGATTTGAAGTCATGATCGAACATGATGTTTGCGTGGTCAACTTAGTTAAGAAATAAAAGTTGTGTCATTGTGCTATTAACTATAGTTTTTGATATGATGATAAACGTTTGATCCTAACAATTCCACCCAAAAGTAAAATTCACAAATAACATGTAACAAATAAAAAAATAGACAACTCTTATTCAATACAATTGATTGTTCATATTGAACATTAAACTGGAATTACAAAGTAATTACCAATGATGGTAAGTAAATTCAAATCAGATGCTTATTATGCTAGATCTTAAATAAAATTCTTTAATATTTTATTTAATTCAATATTTACAATTGAATTTATTTTATTTACCATTTATAACCCATAGACCCTTACAAAGTAACATCGCACTCAATGCTAGAGCGCCTAATAACCACCAATCCAGTATAAAGCTTTGTTTACAAGTAGTGTTCTTTTTAGTATTTCTACCTTCTATTTTTGTTTTATAGAAGTAGTAGTATGACATGATACTCCTTAGGCCAAGATAAATCCACCAATGTTCAATGAAGATATCGGACATTAGAAAATCAAAACAAAAAATTCCACAAACTACCCTTGTCAAAAGTGCAAATTAATCTCCACATCCACCACAACCACCCCCATCACCATCACCATCACCAGCATCATCACCGCAACAACAACCCTGATACGTACCAACATCTGTAGTATTACCACTACCAACAACTCTCGCGGTGGCTTCTCCGGCCCCAGCCAAAACAACGATATTCCCATCTCTTTGTTCTGAGGCCGGAGCAGCCATTTCGACATCGCCTCCTCCTTCATTCGTATCTGGCTCGCGTATCTTTTTGCATATAAGACACAAAATCAACGAAATGGGTATTGAAAGAATGCCAAATGAGAACCACAAAAAGCTTAAGTCCATACTAAATATAGTTGACAACTATTTACGTTTTAGAGGCAATTTATAGCAAGCCACTATTATTTTTTCCTCTATATAGGAAAATAATATTATTTTATATACTCAAGTTGTAATATTTTTTTGTTCTTCATATATAATGTTTTAAATCAATTCACCAGCGCTTACTTTGGAACTTTAACTTATCATTTCATTTTTAGTTCCTTTCATCTCTAGGAGTATCATGAATTGTTCTACTGATGAATCTGAGTCTATTAGGCCTGGAAGATGTTTGACTTAATATCATTTAATTAGTTTATAAATTTTAGTACCTTTCTTTCCAATTCGATTTGCGTCTCACCCAAACTAAATGTGGATGAAATTTAATCTATGTGTCGCAGACTTATATATATATCCTGAAAAAAAGATGTCCTAACACAGTAGGAAAAGCGATATCGAGAGACAATAAATTTTTCTTATATATTGCTATAATTATATTTTGCGGCAATTAAGTTAATGCTATTACATTTAGAGTACTAAATAAAAATCTTTTAGCGATATTTATATTCACTACAAAAACAATGTTTATCATCTAATCAACTCATTCTTGTCGTTTTATTAAGATGGTTGATACGTTTTCCTTTTAATTAAGTTTTGCTTCTATTTGGAAATATAACTTTAGGCCTGTGAGATTTATAGGATAAATATACATGGGCCTATAATCATCATCATATATCTCTCTCTCTCTCTCTCTCTCACACACACACACACACATATATATAATATATATTATATTATATATATAAAAGTGGGAATAAAAAAGTTAAAAGTTAAATTACGATTTACCCCTATTATAAATTAAAATGTTATAAAATATTTAACTATTTAATTTAAATATTAAATTGTTTCATTGTAATTAATATATTGATGACTTTTGTACTTCCTTAGATTAATTCATAATTAAAATATCTAATTTTATAATACTTGTCATCTATAATCTATATGTATATAATAAGAAATTAATAATCATATATCATATATCAAATATCAAATCATATATATATATATTACCCTTGTTTAGAAGAGGGAGTTGTGAAGGACGAACACAACTCCAAAAAGTTGTTCCAAATTAATGTAATTTAAGTTGTACTATGTTAGGGCCTACTTTATTCAACAAGTATTGTACTAGCATTGATAAGTTGTGAAGGACGAACACAACTCCAAAAAGTTGTTCCAAATGTAATTTAAGTTGTACTATGTTAGGGCCCACTTTATTCAACAAGAATTGTACAAGCATTGATAATACATAAGTATTAATTATAACCTGGCGTGTAGTTTCTTTTAAGTCCCCACGTGTCTTTATAACCTGCCGTGTAATTTCTTTTAAGTCCCCACGTGTCTTTGTTTCCTTTACTTAACAAGGACAATTATGTAATTTTACCATTAAATTTAGGGGATTGCTACCGGATGAACAAGGGCACTTTTAGGGATCTGTACATTTGCTGTGTATCGAGTTTAACTCTTTCATTGTTTACATCGATTTCTCCTCAACAGTTGCTCTGAGACTCTTTTTTGATCAACATCTGCCATATTCATCTTCATTAATCTCTGTTTCTCCTCAGGTGCATTCATTAGCTACAGTAAGTTTTTCTTCTTCCTTTTCCCCAATTTCTCTTCCTAATCTGTCCAGCTCTTGAGAAAGGGCCTATGATGGTGGCTATTTTCATTCTTCTTTGGATATATATATTTAGGTCCGCATCTCCTTCAATTTAAGGATAATTTGCTTCTTATCTTCAAAGTTGTTTCCCTTTCATTGTTTTAGGTGTAGATAGATTTTAAGATTATCGATATCGAGCTTCAAAGTATTGATGAAAATCTGTCCTCTGCGGTTAATACAATTAGCTTTGATTAGTTAAACAATTGTGCTTACTAAGAAAACAAATTACACTATTCTGTTTGTATTATTTTCATTCTAATTCTTATTTTCCCGAACTGTTCAAATTGTACTGTCAAATGTAATAACTTTTTCTCTTTTTTTTGGCACAATTTCATTTGCTATCAAAACCCATAAAATTTCCAGAAGACACATCACTAAATAATTAGACGAAAGCCTGTTCAAATTTTACGATGTAATAATTTTTTCTCTTTTTTGGCACAATTTCATTGGCTACCAAAATCCCATCAATTTTTAAGAAGACACATGTACTTTTATATACTATAACGTGTCTTCTTTGTATTATATATATATATATATATATTTATTTATTACTCATAGAGCACAAATTTATTATGCTTCCATTGAAGAAAAACTTTTGCTCCCTTTCTCAGGTATTTTTTTCCCTTTTCATGTTTTTCCTCTTTCCATTTTCAATTTTTCTTGCAGATTTTGCTTGCCACCAAAGGAGAAAATCAAAATGGGACAAAATTAGAGTTATTATTTTCACTTAAAATTCCAATTTTATTACTCAGCATACAGATTTTGGGCATTTATTATATTTTCTAATGTTTCAGTAAGTTTGGGATAATTATGTTCTTGCATGTTCCGAATTTGATTCGAAATATTCATATTGTGTTTTCATTATCTGACTTTTAGTATGTGGAGGGCAATTATGTTCTTGCATGTTCCTAATTTAATCGCCCATGTTCACGCAACCACAAAAAAGAAAGGACTTTGACTCAATAGTGATGCTATCATGTAGATACTACTGTTTGGTTAAATATATTTCGTGCAAACATGGTACTAAGATTGTGTCACGCCCCGAGCCTACACCCTGGGCGGGACCGGCACTCGGAGACCATAGCTGGCCCCAAGCGAACCCTTGGCCTGACTTTCTTAACTCAGCGGAAACCTAACCCAACAGAATAACTCAATACAAAGAAAGGTCATAAAATAACTCAACTGATAAAATCTGGCAAAAAAGGCAACTCGAGTCTCAAAATAGAATATTTACATATATACATAGATGAGAGACTCAATACTAACTGACTGACTGACTGTCTATGAAGCTTCTAAAATACTGAGATGGATGTTGGGACAGACCCCGCAACATCCTAATAAAGCAAAACTAAGAGAACAAAATAACCGAGTCCTCCGGAAAACAAGGAGGCTTACCACTGACTCTGGAGTGCTCAGCTAGATCAACGGCGTGCTGGAGGTTTATCCTAGGTACCTGCGTCTGCATCATAATAAGATACATGCCAACTGGCATTAGTACATGGAATGTACGAGTATGCGAGCTGGAAAGCTAAACCACAACTCAAGCTTGAAAGGAGTACAAGAGAAAACTTACCTTGGCTCTGTTTGACTCATGAATAACCGAACTCAATATAAAGCAATAAGACACATGCAATATATATAAAACTTGTAAAATAGTGTAAACAACTTAGCTCGTTAATGATAAAACAATAACAAACTCAACTTTACTTATATAAAAGTACTATAACTTTTGTGGGAGATTCTTTAACCGACAACCACCACTATGAGCCCTAGTGGTGATACAACGTTTTACCTCACATTGCCCAAGGACCATCCTATACCTTTCCGTAATATATGACCTTACTTTAACTTAGTAGATCCACTAGCTTAATCTTATGTGATCATCTAAAAAGAATGACCCGTCAAGTCCCATGTTAGCTCATGGTTCTCATGGAGAGTTGAGTTAATATGAACTCGTGTCCCCAATTCGGTGATCAGTACTACTCCCAAAAATAATTTGGCTCTTAAGTGTTTTAAACACATCTTTCTTTAGTTTGAGATAATTGCTCAAAGATTAACTTAAAATCTCTTTTGGAATCGATGTTCCCTTTTCTTGAAAACTAGCCCAAAGGCTCTTTTGGAATCATAGTTCCTTTCTTACTTAAATGTAAAAACATTTATAAACTTCTTTGGGAATACTTAGTTCCCTAATAACTTTTGAGAAATGAACTCAACTTTATACTCTTGGCTTAACTTGAAACACTATACTTTTTACTTAACTTGAAACTTGAGCCTTAAAATGAAATTAAAACGTTTAACAAGGACTCTTGAAAAGCTTTAAAGACTTGCTTGGACTTAGTTCATAACTTCTAGACTTGACTTCTAACTTCACTTGACTTTGATCCTAACTCGCCTTGAATTGGATTATAGATTCAAGGTATATGATCACATGTTTATGGATGAGTTCTTGACGTTTAGACGAAGCTTGGAGTGTTGGAAACAACTATGAAACATAGGTACATTACCAAGGAACATGCATGAAAAAGTGGGGAAAGAATGGGAAAAGTTGGCGTCCTTGGCGCTCTGGGAGGCGCGGAGCGCCAGCCTTCAGACCTCAGAAGGACCTGCTAGGGGCTCTGCTAGGCGCACCGCCCCAAGGGCTGGACTTCAGAGTGCCTTTTGGGGCGCGCTGGCAGGCGCGACGCTCCACCCCTTTCCCCAGAAAACTCGACTTTTCTCCCTTGTTTTTCCAACTCTAAACCACCTTAACTTCAAAGGTTTTAGCCCCAAACACTTAGATTCATAAACCCCTCAACATACAATAGATTCAACTCGAAAACACAACCGAAAACATACCTCAAATTAACAAGAACTTCAACAACACAACCACAACCTCAACAATCACAACCTCAAGACTTCAACAAACACAACCAAATCTTTTCTTGGAAATTAAAACGAGTTTGGCGTGTTGGGGAAAGAACCAACCCAGCACTATGAACTCACATACCTTAGTAGGGATCACCCCCGACGATATCCACGACGAAATCCTTGCTTGCTCTTCTCTTTCTCCTCTTCTTCTCCTCTTCACTCACAAACCCTCACTCTCACTCTTTTAAAAAAAGGAAAACTGATCTAAAAATCAGTCTAAAACCTTAATATACCAAAAGAATTGGTTAGGAAAAAGACCAAAATACCCTTAAAACTTTCGGGCTGACTTCCCTATACCAACAATCTAACTTCCAAAGGGAATAACTCACTCATACGAACTCCTAATCGAGCAAACTCGGCGGCGTTGGAAAGTTCATTCCACGAGCTTCGAAAACATAACTGG